ATTATGTTGAATTTTTTTTCTTGAAAGAAAAAATAAGTCTCATCTTTTTTTTTTTTACTTCTTGAACTTTAAATAAGTTTCTTTAAGTTTTTATCCATACTTGTTAGTTAATAACTAGGTAAGCACTTAAAAACAAAAATTTGTGTTATAAATTGGAAGATTTATAAACTAAGAGTACATTTAACATAAAAATAAAATCAAATGATTATAGAAAATCATTTTTAAATTTTATTTCAAATATTAAAAGTACTATTAATAAAAAAAAGTATGAAAATACCAATGGAATTGGGTCTAGTATGAAATATTAGTTCCTTACAACATGACGAATTAATATTCAAACTCTCTTAGAGAAATGTATTTATGTTTAATGCTCGATTATACTTCAATTTGGATTGTCTCCAATATGAGGATCCCTATTAACAATAAAAAAAAAAAGGTATGAAAATATCATAAATATTACATAAAAAAGGTAAAAAGATGATTTCTCTCTACGTTAGTAATCCAAGCTCTTAAAAAAATTAACTCGGGGATATACAACATATATTCTCAATTTCTCGTTACTCATTAGCACATTGATTGAATTGAGTAGCAAGGAATTCAACACTCTTTAATTTAAATAAAATATTAAATTCAACCCTCTCAGGTGGAAAAAAAAAATTGTTGGAAGAAATTTTACATTTTATAAATGCCATGCAACCTAACTCAGTGGTTCATTTAAAAAAATAATTTATTTTCCAGGATTAAAATTATTTTATCAATCACTAATAAACTTATTTTTTGTCATAAGGTTTTATGAATTTTATATTAAGTTTATATTATCTCTCATAAATTTTTGAAAAAAATTTATCAAACTGCTATCAAATTAACCATGTTACGTGGCAAATAGTGATGGGTTTTCAAGGGATAAAGGGGTAAAGTTGGGGGTAGGAGATATAAGAATGTTGATACGAACATGGGAGCATATACAAAAGAATAGAATGCAAAATGAACATACACAAGGAAAAGTGAGCATGACTTCTATTGTAGAAAAAATGATAAAAAATTATTTGATATTGTTTGGATATATTTAGAGAAAGTCATGGAAAATATCGGTAAGGACAGTAAAACAGATAACCTTAACCTCAATAAAAAGGATTTGAATTCGATGACTGTATTTAGTATAAGTACTGAGTATTTGTATCATCTAAACCGTTAAAATTTAAATCAATAATCATGAATTTACACTTCACTTGATATTGATGAATAAGTGAGTTTATCTAAACTATTGATCTGGATTTCAACAACTCAGATGGTATAGGTACTCTATATCTATATTAAGTACAGTCACTGAATCCAATATTTTTAAAAATTATTGATGACACTTCTTAATTAATAATATATTTAAAAATTTGATTGATGATAAAATACAATGATATTATGCAATCTATTTAGCCGACTCTACCTAATACGATAAATGTTGTTGTTGTACCCTCAAATTTGAGTTGAGTTCATATCTATATTTTCTCCATGGAATCCATGCAGTCTTCTTCCTTTTGTTTGTCAACTCCCAGCAATCTGAACAGAAAAATTCCTTGAAGCGATCTAAAATTGAATTTCTAAAATATTTTAGGAATAAAAAGTAAAAATTAATCAGTAATAAAATTATTCTCTAAACACAAAATCAGCCAAACCATGTAACTATATATAATGCTTCTTTCGTTGCCCTCTAGCTTGTTCATAATTCGCCATAGCCTCTCTCTCTCTCTCTCTCTCTCTCTCTCTCTCTCTCTCTGTGTGTGGTATATCAATCTCAGTGAGGAAGAGGAAGAAGATGATGAAGGCGATGGTGAACTATAAGAAGAAGCCATATGGTTACTCGAAGATGGAGAAGGAAGATCCAGAAGAAACCAGACATCGGCGAGCTCAGTTCTTAATCTACAAGATGTTGCAGAAATCTGATTCTTATTGTTCTCGAAGAAGGCCGTGTTTGGTTAGGATTAGGATCAGATTGTCAAAGTTGAAGATTAACTTTAACAACAGATTCATCAGGAGAATCAAAACCAGACTTGTCTCTAGTGTTTCTTCTGCAATTCGTCTCTCCGAATTTCTGGGCACTAGTACAAGGCATTGAAGCGACGACTTATAATGTTTGGATCATCATCATCATCACCAAAATTGATGATAAACCTTCCTGATATTGCTTTCATCAATTATTGGTGATTATTCCTCATGCGCGTTTCTTTATCATCAGTTTCTTCATTTTCAATTAGTGTTTTTTTTTTTTTCCTGGGTTTGTTGAATGATGCTATAAATGAACGTTCACTGCTCATAGAAAGCTAGATTGAATTGTTCTCTCGGAATTGATGTTCATATGCACACAATTTTGACAGTAGTAAGTTGGTATAAAAATTAAGGAGAATCGATCTCCAAGTCCATCTAATTTTCTCAATTTTGAGATAGGTTTATGTAGTTTATTTTGTTTTAATCAAGCTTTTATATAATTTTATGTATTAAATATATTAATCCTTGAAGGTTAAGATTAATAATAAATTATTAAATTTTCCAAACAAAAATACTTTTAGGTAGTATTTGGATTGATGAATTTGAATTTAATTTTTATATTTTAAAATCTTGCATTTTAAATCTTACATTTAAAATTTATATATTTAAAATTTTTTATTTCAATAGTTTAAAATTTTTTTACTGATATTCAAAACAAAAATAAAAAATTAGAAATGATGAGTTTATTTTTATTTTTTCATCAATAAGAGCTGAAAAAAATATTAGAGTTATAGATGTATCAATAATGAAAAATAAAAAAGAACAAAATATTTGAAATGATTAAAATTTTAAATAATTAGGTTATAGAGAGAATTTAAAATTACAAAAAATTATAATTTAAAATGAATTTAAATTTAAATCATATCCAAATTCATACATTTTTGTGAACTCAAATGAGAGATTTTTAAATCCAAATCTAAATTATCATTAATCTGAACATACAATTAGAGTTTATAGAAAATTTAATTTAATAATTTTAGTCAAAACTGAAAAAAATTGATTTAATACACTAGTTAATTTTTTATTAATTTTTTAATGAAAATTCTATAAGTATAAATATTATTCAAAACTATAGTGACTTGCAAATATATTTTTCCAAAAAAAGTACGAAAAATAAATTATCTTATTCAGGAAAAAATTAGTGAAACCTTAATAAATTATTATAAGTAAAAAAATATATTAGAATAAGTCTACTTAATAAAATTTTAATATTTTTTTAAAAAAGTTTATATTTTAAAATATTAAATTACCTGAAAAATATTTTATAATTTATGATGGAACGAGTAATGAAGACGTTGGTTTTAAGAGTTGGACTTTGATCCCATGTGTTGATGTGGATAGTCTAACAATTCCTAATGGGACCCTGCGTTACTTTTAACTTTGAAAATTTGTTCAAATTAGAAAACCTCTAGATCTTTCTATCCATTTCGCTTTTAAATGTCGTTAAACTTCAAACTCTCCTAAAATTAACGAGAACAGTCCAAAATGACATATAACGTCATTACAAGTTAACAATCTTGTTAATTCATGCCTTTTTCTCTCATTTCTTGATCTATTTATAAAAGAGCTAGTGAAGGATAAGGCTGAAAACAAAATTCACTCATTTACAATAGTCAAAATCATTAGGACATGGCATAATGTTTTGTGGGAATATCTTGACAAGGACATAGCAGCGAAGTTGCCACCAATGACTTTGCAGTCAAAAAGTTTAAGTTATGAAAACGGCCTTTCGTAGAAAAAAAATGCAAGCTAAAATTGCATACCGTAGACTCAATGACCCTCTCAAGTATATAAATTTATTTTAGAGATAATATAGCTTTAATCCTTAAACATTCTCTCAATTATCACGGTAATCCTTAAATTATGACTTGATACCATTCAATCCTTATAGTTTATTAAATTTTGAAATTATAAGGATTCAATTGTTTCAAATAAAAAAACTATAAAGATATAGTTATTTCAAGTTAAGAAACTAAAAAGCAATTAATTGTTCTAATTTAAAGTTTAGGAAATGAGTCCATAATTAAAAAAAGGTTACAGTCTTACAGAACTAAAAGTTATATTTATTTATATATTTTAAACATTAAATCCTCTTAAGATAAGGCATGAACAATCATTTTTCATTTCATTTTGCCTTTGTTTATGTCTAGGGCTGTGTAAAAGTCCTCAAATCTGATCCAGTCTTATCTAACTTGAGACAAACTCGATCCTGATTTGTCCGGATAAAAATTAGTCATTTAGGATTAAAAATATCAAAAAGACCAAACTCTTTCTTAGAGTTAGACTAGACAAAAGATTATACATCTGAATCACTTAGTCTGGTCCAATCCTATAAATTTGTTTAATATAATTATAATTAATTTATTAATTATTATTACAATAAGTTAATTTATAATAATAATTAATATTTTTTGTGTTTTATACTTTTGAAGTCATGAATATTGAATAAAATTTTAACATAAACTAATCTCAATCTTTTCCTTTTATTGATGAAATTTATTATTAACTTGGTGTAATGAACTTTAGACATATTAAAAATTGTTTAATTCAAATAATTTGTATTGTAATTAAAATATTTTTTATTGTTGTTGAAGAGTGTTGTGAATTTATAATTGTTGTCGTTGCTTAACTTTATTCTTTTCATGGAAAGAATTGGATTTTGAGATAGACCAAAATCCTGTCACATCAGTCTTTTGTGCAGTTCTCACGTCCAATCTCTCAAAGATAAGAAATCTACGATAGAAAATGGAATGGTGGTGCAAACAATGTTTAACTCCTCGAGTGAAATAACGAGATAATTAGTGTTGAATTATAGTGACAGGCATATGATATATTTTGCGTCTCAAACCATGTGATATCAAAACCGATGTGTTTTTTCAATTTTTCTTTAGAGTATACCAAATGGGGCCATAAATGCCTTGCCTTCAAAGGGATTTTAAGCCAACATACTTCGACAAATGTAAGCAGTAAATTATTAGTAATTATGATCAAAATCTCAAAGTTACATCAGCAATTAGGGATACACGTGGAACATGGTGCAAATAAAAGAAAGCACCATCATTGAGACTGAAAGAAACTTTAAGGTTAAAAAAAAAATGCAGATGTACCAATTAAAGTGGGCATAAATGGTGAAAGCCCCATCACTTAAGCAAGTGGTTGAGGTTTCAAGTCTCACCTCTTGTGTATGTAGCACTTAGGAGATGTCTACTCTCTACCCTCAATACCTCAAGGAGGAAAATCCCTGCTGTCAGCAAGGTGGAAAGAACGCAGATGCACATTATAAATTGAGCTCCAAAATTGCCAAAACCTCATGATTCACCATCAACAGTTTCTGTTGATTCCTCGTGAACAGACTTCAGCAACAACTTTTTTTTTGTTCATGATTCACCATCAACAGTTTCTGTTGATTCCTCCTGAACAGATTTCAGCAACAACTTTTTTTTGTTCATACCATCCTGCTTCATCACTTTGGTAGGAGAGCTTGGTGGATTTCCTTCATGTTCCTGAATGTGACGCATAATTATTGCTTTTGCAGCAGCAAGAGAAGCGTAGAATTGTTCTTCATCAGGTGCCTTCTCAAAATTCAACATGTTATCCTTTCTTTCTATTTTCCTTCTTATGTGAATCTCATCCTTAACCATCTGGTTTTTTCGGAAAAGGAGGAAAATTCCATTATATTTGGATACATTCTCCATAAAATACAAGCAGGCCAGGTCAAGTGAAACATATAGAACACACAGCATTTTATCAATATCTTCCTTCATATTGATTTCACCATAAATTGTCCTCAGTGTTACCATTTATTTTAACTTTGATTTTTCTTGATATTCACCAAAATCGATGTTTATGTGATGAAGCAGGATCTGAGAGGAGACTAGATAAAAGAAAGAGAGGCATGAATATCTGAAAATCTGACAAGTTAACCAATGATATAGACTATAGTCCCCCATCACACTGAATGAGATTTATTGTCCACTCGAGATTCAACTTGATTTGTAGTACATGATAATGGATGCCTCCTTAAATGTGTGTGTAGCCTATAGTCCCCAGTGGTTGCAGGGCCTAACGCACGAATCTTTGGAGAAAACTAAAAACACTACCACCAAAGTGAAAATCTTAATAGCCTGTTTGGTTGGACTCCCTGCATCAATCCTGATGCATGCTCTCCATTCACGGAGTTTGGTTGGACAAAGCAAGGTAAAGGTCATTATAGGTTGTTTTTAAGATTCCCTCAGATGTGGTAATGGGGATTACATAACTATACCTATGTAATGGGGATTACGTAATGATAAAAGACCCTCATGCCCTTGCTTCATCTTCCCTCCCTCTCGTCACCAAAGTCATCCACCTTTAGCGACCATCGTCATCTACATTCAGATCTGTCTTCCCCATCTTCCTCCTCCTTCCTTCCTGACCATATCCTCACCAAACACCGCCTTATTTTTCTTCACTGTTCTCATCACTTTCATGCTCCTGGGCTGGGGGCAAGCTCTTTCAAGTTCTCCTAGGATACTAATGGCGACCCCTTCAAAGTTTGAACAAAGCACAGTTGCACCACCAGCTATGACCTCTTATTTGATACCACGTCATCATCTTCTTCTTCCTCATCATCTAGTTGATGCTACCTTCTTTGCAGCCTCCATTGATCTCATTGTCCACGCAGCACAAATCTCGTTTTGAAGGTTGATTTTTTTGGGCTTATATGTTGATTTTTCAATTTTGTCTTTTGGATTTGAAGGGCGATTGTATTGCAATGGTAAGAAAGGGAAAGAAATTTTTCATGGTACTTGGCCCTTGGAGGCCAACCATGGTGTGATCGGAAGGGTTGAAGAAGAGGAAAGATTCCCCCCACCCCTAATAAGGGTAGTTGTGTCTTTTTATTTTTACCTTAATTTAATAAAATATAAATATTAAGTTTGATTCCCATCTTCTTAAATACTGTACTAAACAAACGGGCACTAAAATTTCGCACCTATGCTTATGTCTATAGTGGTTTTTCACTGCTTAGTAGAACTCTCATTCCAATGTCTAGCTGCATTGAGATTGCCCAGGACCAAAGGAACTTGAGGAAGAATTAGTTCCAACAACTGCTTAGATTAAGAAAGAATTGATCACTAAATATGCCACAAGGACACTGAATCAAAAACTCTTCGTTTTGTGCTCTCCACAAATATTAAGCTGCATTCAATGCTTGATGGATGTCATCAGTACTAGAGATAAAGATGTCCACCATAGACCATACTAGGAGACAGAAAGCAAAATGGCTGGATTTTAAAATTTTGAATTTTTAATTAAAGATTTAGCAAAATGGTAGGATTCAAGTTTTTTCTTTGCTGTATAGCTTTCAATAGATTGAGTGGACAAAACAGATACAAGAATTTCTCCATCAACCCCAGGCAAGCTTCAAATTCCATCTTTTTTTAAATAGTTTCTAAAACTATGTCATGTAAGACACTGCATATGACAACCCTAAGCGAGGAATATATCATGCTGTTCTAAAGACAAGATAAAGTATTGTCATACAGAAATTTCTGACTTCATAGGCCAACATATTGACAAACAAGCATAAACTACTTCTATGCCTTATGCAAGTCATCAATTCCATCTTCTCATATTTTCATACACTTCCACAATTGACTATTTAACCTACAAATAAGGAAAAAAGGACAAGGGACATGGAGAATTCCTAAAGTTTCTCACAACTCAATTGTACTCCGAAACATCTATTTTCACCAACATATCCCCCTCTAGTTCTAAATATAAGATTCCTTCCAGAGGTTCTTCATTGTCCTTAAGACTCTACAAAATGTACAAAGCATTTATGAAGTTTCTTCAGACACACCCCTCGTTGAAAAAAGGAGTTTGGACTTATAATGCAGAAAAAGAGAGCCTCACACCCCATTTAGTAACTCAAAATTAGGAACATCAACTAATTTTAACTCCTTTTTTTTTTTTAATCTATGTGATTTAGTTAAAAAGATCTTATAAATAAGAGAAGAGTCGTACAAGGAGATAGGTATATAATATATGAATTTTTTCATTTCCTCCAAGCCAAAGCATAACTTTGAGTACTACCAAGCTGCCCTTAAGTTCTAATCTAACATGCAAAACAATAGGTGTTGTTACAACCCGTGTCAATGATTAACAATCTCAAAAAGCGTCTTTACTCAATATCTATATGCAAATTTTCAGAACAGCTAACATCAGAAGCAACAAAAATGCAAATGCTAAGAAAACAAGAAGCAGCTTCGATCCCTACATTAGGCTTAGTTATATGAGATTAATACCACTAAGTTACATGCAAACAATACAACAACGATGATGATGACAAGTCTTATCCCACAATGTAAAATCAGCTACATGGATTACACATCAACATTGCACTCTATCGTCAATCAAGATTTTAGAAATATTATTAATTAAGAGGTCTCTAGAAATATTGTTAATTAAAAAGTCTCATTTAATAACTTCCATGCAAACAATAACAAAAAGAAATAAAAATTCATTGAATATAAGCTATTTCCAATTTCTTACCTGGAACAACCTTATGTCAAGCTTTGGAGGCCCCAATTGAGACACAGTCAAGGAGCCAAAGAAGTTGCCTAGTATTGCAGCATCAGACACAGCCAAACCTTGAATCAGACCTGAAACAAAACCACCTAAGAAACTGTCCCCAGCACCTGTCGGATCAACTTGATTAGCTGTAAATGGCGATATTTCCATGTCCCCATCTTTCCAATACACTCTACACCCTTCTTTTCCATGTGTCACCACAACACAGCAAAATTTCCTCATCTCCTCCAAATCAATGAACAATGCCTCATCAGCTGATGCTTTGAGGAACCCAATTCGTGGCAATAGGTGAAAGAAACCACTCTCCTTCAACGCAATAGGCTTCACAGTTCCATCAACAACATCGAATTTTCGAATCAGAGCCTGAACATCAACAAACACTTCGTCACAAATCTCAACCATTCTCTCCAGAGTCTCCGGCAATATTTCCCCACCAACGCCAACCGCCATTCCGAAATCCAAACTCGATTGCGGAAGGTCCAAAATCCTAATCGCATCGCAAGCACGGACCCGTTTCAGGACCCGATCCGAGTTCCCGGATGCATCGATATTCGAAGTGAAATGCGCATGAAAAACAGTGGTTTCGGCAGAGGGTATCACAATCGGAGGATGGTTTGTTACGTAAGCAAAATCCGGTCCTACCTTGGCAACCAGATGGTGTGAGATAGAGAAACTGTCAAGCACCGCGGAGATGAAGGTAGCGGCGCCACCGATAGCCTCTCCAACGACGGCGCCGTCACGCAGGATGACATCATGGCAGTAATTGCCCAATACAAGTGCCCGAAGATTGGAGTTTTGGGGGTCTTCGGAGTCTCTCAACATGAGAAACCTGGTGAAGAAGAAGGGTGAGGGATTTAGGGGGTAATGTGTGAGAGAGCGTGTTGGTCATGGATCAAGATTGAAGGTTCGTGGGAGTTCATGAAGGAAGATGAAAGAGGGAATATTGATGCGGGATTGGATTTGGAACACAGAAAGGAAGGACCTTTCCGTAACAGTATACGGCAAAAGCTCGAAGGCGAGACGGAACTGTGTGACATGCATTTTGGACAAGAGGACGCGCGCCGGCGAAGGAATTGATGTCGACACTTACCGGTAAGCCAATGTGTTTAAATTCAAATTTAAGGGATAATGAAATTTTAGTTCTTGAATTTGTTTAAGTTAAGCATTTCATCTTTCAAATTTAATTTTTATTGATTCATTTTTTTATATTTTCTTAAATTATTATGTAAATTTTTAATTTTTAAAATATTAATTCATCCTCAAAATAATTTAGTATGTAAAATTTATTTGTCATATATATGTGTGTATTTGTGTATATAATTAAATAAAAATAAATTAACATTCAAATTATTTTAATTTTTTATTCATATAATCCTTTATATTATGTTTTCTTTTATTTTTTAATTTTTAGAAACTATTTTTAATAATAATAATAATTATTATTTTCATTAATTTATATAATTATATCAATATTTTATTATTTATGTTAGTAAATTTTATCAACGTAACCTATCTTTTAAATAATAAGGATTAAATTAATAATCAAAATAAATATAAAGAATTAAATTAATAAAAATTAAATGTAAGAGATTAAATTAATAATTAAGATAAATTTAAAGGTTTAATAGTTACATTATTCTAAATTTAAGTACCAAAAAACACTTCTTAGAAAAATTTTTGAAAGGTTCTATGATCATTTTCATGAAAAATCAACAATCTCGTATCTAGAGTATTTATTCAAATTTTTAGGAAGAATGACAATTGAAAACTTTAAAACAACATCGATTAATGTAAAATTATTTTCAAAATTTAAATATCAAAATTTGAGTTGTAAATTTTAAAATATCTGAAATAAATAGGTTCTTGTTTTATTTAATATTGTTTTCAAGGTCTTTATTTATTATTCTCCCATTTGTTATTTTAATTAAAAGGAAATATTTATCAAAAAGTTATTTATTTGGAGCCACCTGTCAATTACTAAATGAAGGTATTTTGAGAAAGAAATTTAAATTTATAATATATTTATTAAAAGCAAAATGACAAATAAATCCCATTACAATATGTGAATGAGAAAATAGTACTCAGAGAAGAAGAAGATTCAGCATGAATGATCAAATAGGACTTCAATGAGTAAAAATTTTATTACATACTCAAAATCAATTTTAAGAAGTTTAGACCAACTATTAAACTGACGCCTAATTTAATGATCAAACCGTAGTCCAATCAATAATGAATAAATTAATATATTTTAAATAATATATATTTAAGATAAAAGGAATTAATTATATATAATAATAAAAATGAATTTTTTAATTTCATACAAAATAATATATAATAAAAAAGTAATACCAATCAACATTCTATCATTTTCATCCAAAATATATATATATATATATTTATTTCATAATTTATAACTTTAAAATATAAACGTATTACATATTTGTTCATTTTTCTTCACTTCCCAATTCTTATTAGGTACAGGTATATATACTTGTAGTTTAAAAATATGAATCAAAATTTAAAATTTAAAAATTCAAAAATAATATTAATGGTTTTACTTGTTTTGACGAATTTAAGACCAATTCTTAACCGATTCTCAAATGGACTGGGCTTCTTGTGTGACAGGGTCGGACTTGAAATCGGTTCGGTTCTTATGCTAAAAATATATATATCTAGATGGAATTATTTTTGACTTCTCCACAATTCTCTCTCACACTCGCTCACAATCTCTTGCAATTTATACACACCACACTTGTTGCTTTTGTTTCTCCACGCTCCCCTGTAATGAAGTTTTTCTTTCAAGTTCTTTTAATGTAATCTTTACTATCCTAATTATAGAATAAAGTTCACTGCTTGATACAATGGTGGAGCTAGTACCCAAAATCAGGGGTGCGATATTTTAATTTTAAATAAAATTAATATTTTGTAAAAATAAACATTTAAATAATTAAAAATAATAATTATACTAGAATTAAAATTGTAATAAATATATAAGTATATTGATAATTTTTTTATAAAATTATGTTAAACATGTTAATATTATCCTTTTTATGTAAATATGTTTTTCATATTTATCATGATTATTAAGATATCACATATCTAATAATTTTTTGAGCTCGAATATTTTTTATTTAATCCACAAGGTGCAAAATATTAAAAGTAGGGGATGTAAAGTTGTAAAATTTACATGCCATACTTATAATTTTTTTCAAAGTGAAGGAGTACATTTGTCTACCCTCACTACACTCACTACAACGTGGCTCAGCCGCTAACTTCATGCTTCTTAGAAAAATGATAATTGATATCTTTAATCTCAAAAAAAAGTAACTTTTCAATGTTGCCCTTGAATGAAATTAATATCCACAATAAAATGCTCAATTGAATGAGTCATGAAATAACAACAACAACTTAGTTTCTACGAAAATATATTGATGTGATTGTGTATGGTGATTTACCTGATATTCAAGTTGTCATCCTAGGTACTATTTGATATGACATCTTGCATGGCACTAAGTCCAAGATGGAAACATGTGCGGCAATCATGTCTTAGATGGCATGTCATGTGATCAAGTTACCAAAACCAAGTCACTTAAATGAAGAAAAGCCTAAGTAATGTTGAAGAGGTTATAATATATGTTGAGAGCTAAATGATAAGAGCAACTGAACGATAGCTCACAAATAATTTAAAATTTTTTGATGTGTTATCTCATAGAAAATAATATTAATTGAAATAGTCTCATAAATTTAAATGAAATTCAAAATTATATTAATCAATCTATTGCCTTCTCTTAATTCAATAAGCATTAATAAGGAAAGACTTTGACTCTAATTAAGGATCCTTGTCATAGTAGGACTCTTAACAAAATCTTAATGGACAACTTAAGCCCAAAAACCCATAGTAGGCTATGAGGCCCTAAAACACTAACTTAAAAAATGAGCATGAATGAAAAATTGAAGACATTGAGACCCAATTAACATAAATGGACTCTATTAGACTAATTAGATCGATCTTCATGTAATTCCTTTCATCAGTCCATGTAAGTTTTAATTAAGCCCATTAAGTCTCTTCCAATTACTCGTGAATTTCCATGGGACATTAGGACATACATTTGGGCTTGAATTAGCAAAATTATGGCCTAATTTGTTCCCTCCAAGTATAGTTTTATATTGAATCTTTAATATAGTGATTTGGACTCCTAACATATATTATAACTCTTGAATATGGATATCTAGACTTTCCTTTACTTGAATGATTTTGGCATTGGGTGATTTGATGATATGATATGCTATCTAAAACATGGTTGCCACATATGTTGCGATGTATTAAGACTTAATTGTCACTTATGTTGTCATCTAGGACTTTATTGTCACGTAGGATATCATCTTAGATATCATATAGGATGACAATTTAGATGCCAACTAGATCATTACCCAGAATCACATCATATATGGAGGCTGACAATAAATAAAATAGGGGATAGGATTAGAAAACAAAATATAAATGCTACATTTTTACCCTATATTTTTGATCAAGTAGGAAGTAGATACTTTGTGGAACTGGAGGAATATATTCTAAGCCTTTTATCTCTCAAATTTCAACATGAATTGTTTGTAATACTTTATTGCGATTAAACGTAAGTTGAGACTTAAGAGTGTGAATAATTCTCATTGTGGGTATAATTGTGGGTCACGAAAAGATAAACATAAGTGAAAAAAATATTAAGCTAATGCACTAATTCACTATTGTGCATTAATAATGTATTATTCAGCTCACTATATATTTATTCTCAAAGCACATGTTTTTTTTATTATTTACAAGTAAGTATCATTCTATTATTAGAAACAGTCTTATTTAAAATATTATTAAATATTAAATATGAGCATCTCTTTAAGCGAGCATTCAAGTATAAATTTATTATATTATAAGAGACTAGTCTTATCTGGTAAATATAATCCCACCACCAGTGAGTACATGATTTTTTGTTTAGCCATCAAAGCACATGTTTATGTATGCAAGTAATGTACCCATACTTGAGGCGAAATTATTGAAGTCAAATGTAAGTTGAAGAATAAAAAATATCTGATATTAAATAAAATTAGATTATATATATATATATATATATATTTTTTGAAAAAAGGTCAGGTTGTGACTTTTGAGTCAATATATATACACTTCATAATCTTTTTTAAAAAAATAAAAAAGCAGACCCAATTCCTATATTGTGTGATGATCTTTGCAGCCTTGACATGCTTAGCGCAGATAACAAATTAAGCCTCGTGGAGCTAGCCAGCTCACTCGGTAGGGATACAGTGGGGTGTCGATAAAGGTAAAGCTTTCCAACCTTATGATATACTTATCAAAAAGTAAAGTACAATTATTAGGTGTTCGGTTCTTTAATGCAATTATAATTATAACTTTTATGGTCTTTCTTGTTATATACCCCTCCCTTAAAAAAATATAATAGGATTAAATGCTAGAAAATATAAAATATTTTTAATTTTTTAAAATATATTTATTATTTTTTTAAATGTCCTTATTAATAATGACTTCATATTTATTAAGGGTGTTTAATAGAAATAAATATAAAAAGATAAAGTTAGTTAGAAAGTAGGTAACTATTTTATTGGGAGGTGAGATTTGATTAAAAATGTTTTATATTTTTTAACGAAAAAAATATATTAATATTATATTGATTAAACCCAAAATTAGTTGATTGTATTTTGATTGAAAAAGTTACTCGATTTAAATTAAATAATAAATAATATTGATGGTGGGTTTCGAATAGAGGTTAGTAGTAGAATGAGTTAGTGTATAAGAAAACTTCTTGTTGCATTCTCTAAGGGTTTCCTTACTTGTGATAGCCCTTTTTCAATTGACATCACTGTGCCTCCACGTAGTGACGGACTTAGGAAATTTTGTTTGTGGGGGCAAAATTTACATAACATAAATATTAATATTTTTAAAATATAATTCCAAATATTTATTAAATTAATTAAAAATAATGATTTATTTACACCAGTAAAAAATATTTTATTTAAAATTAAACACATAAAAAATAAAAAATAAAATTCT